AAATCATAGAGGTATAGATGAAACAGAAAATAGAATTAAAACATTATATTATTGGCCTAATCAAAGAGCATCAATTCAAACCTACATTAACAGCTGTGAAATATGTCAATTAACAAAATACGATAGAAAACCTATTAAACCTATTTATAATATTACTCCTACAGCGATTAAACCTTTCCAAATACTACATTTAGATACAATAACATTAGAAAATAATAAATTTTTAACTATAATAGACTCATTTTCAAAGTATGGTCAATTATATAAAATTAATTCCGCACAAGGAATCGAAGTAGTCAATAGCCTAATTAAATATTTTACTCATCACTGTATACCAGAACAAATAATTTCTGATAACGGTACAGAATTAAAAAATTCACTTGTAAAAGATCTACTAAATCTTCACAAAGTAAAGATTCATTTCATTAGCTCACAGCATCCAGAATCCAACGGCATCGCTGAAAGATTCCATTCTTCTATTATTGAACATATTAGATTACTAAATAACCAAAACGAATATAAAACTGAACCTATAGAACAAAAAGTTAATTACGCACTTTTAGCGTATAATAATAGCATTCACTCTGTAACAAAATTAAAACCTTATGAAATTACTACAGGTCATTTAGAAAATAATTCCGTTTTCGATTTAGATATAGAGCAACAATTAATAAATAATTATATTTCTGATCACAAAGAAAAAATGAAAATATTATATTCACAATTAAATAAAAATATACAAGAAACCAAAGAAAAAGTTATTACCAAAGCTAATGAAAAGCGAGAAAAGTTAACGGATGAAATTCCTTCTAAAGTATTTGTTCGTAACAGACAAAAACAAAGTAAAACAAAAAATAAATATCAAGCTGAAGAAATTAAAGATACAAATCTAGAAAGAAATACTGCTAAAATTATCACTAGACATAAAAATACTGCCGAAGATATTCATTTATCAAATATTAAACGTCCTAAAAGAAAACCTTATACTTTTATTTCAGGTGCGTCACTATCGGATACGCATCAGTAGACATAAAAGACATCACCCACAATTTAGGTATCCTACCAATTAATCTAGGTCCTGCCAAACTTCAAAAATCTAGGCACACATTCGTGCATTTTTACGATTTAAACCCGCTATTGCAGGAATACAATAATTTAAACATACAGTTTAACTATCTTAAAAATAATATTTCAAATAATACATTCTTCAGTATAGAAACTGAGAATTTCGTTAATATTATAGTTTATCTTAAATCTAATATAGAAGAAAAATTTAACAATCTTAATATTCACTCACTTTTAGAAAAAAATAAAAGAGGTTTAATAAATGGGTTTGGATCAGTTCTTAACGCCATTACCGGAAATTTAGACTCCCAAGATGGAGAAAGAATAAATTCAATTTTAGAACATTTAAAAGAAAATCAAGCTAATTTACAGAATCAATTAAAAATGCAATATTCTGTCAGTAGCCAGATAATAAATAATTTTAATCAAACAATTCAAGATATCCAAAAAAATGAAATTAATCTCAAATCTAAAATACTAGAAATTAAAGACATTGTAGACTTTCAAGCAAAATTTGAAAATGTAATTTACTTAAAAGACTTATTTAACGAATTATTGATAATTTATAATTTAATCCTGGACATAATGGAAAACGTAGAAAATTCCATAACATTTTGTAAACTGAAAACCATTCACCCTAGTATCATAAAATCACATGAGCTATTTTTAGAATTAAAAAAGATTTCTTCTCATTATCAATTTCAGCTACCATTAGAAGTAAAATATGAAAATATTTTAAATTTCGAATCAATCTTAGAGGTTAACTGTAAATTAGAAAAAAATCAAATACAATATTTTCTATCAATTCCTATTGATTTTGAAACAGAATTCGAACTATATTATTTACTGCCAATTCCCACCAAATTTGAATCAGAATTTGTTATAATAATGCCAAACACAAAATATATATTAAAATCCGGAAATCAAATAAAGCCTCTAAACGATATTTGCACACGCGGTAAAAAATTCCAATGTCCTAGCCGTTTACAAAATAATAATGAACAATTATGCGAGAAAGAAATTTTACTAAAAGGAAATTCTAGCCAATGTCAATATGTTAAGGTAGATATTTCTAAAAATCACATAGAAATTATACCAGAAACAAATCAATTTTTGGCAATATTTCCTCAAGAAGAAAAATTATCAATACAATGCTTGCAAGGAACCGAAATTAAAATCTTATCTGGAATATTTTTAATTGATAATTCACCATGTAAAATAATATTTAAAAATCACGAATTAACCTTTCAAGAAAAATCATTTGGACAACCAATTATAATAAATAAACCAAAATTGTATTTTGAAAAAATAAATCTGTTGCCAATGAAATTAAATTTAAAAAGTTTAAAACTAAAAGAAATCAGTTCAAATGGACCAATACCTATAATAAACGAAAATTTTAAGTATCATATTCCTAGTGCATGGACAATTATTCTTTATTTTGGAGTAGCAGTAACAATTATTTTTATCATCCACAAGAAGATGCCTAAGAAGAAGAAGGAAAAATCCCCACCGGAACCAACCCCTGAAGAAGGCCATATTCGACTTCCGCAAGAAGCCTCATTTTAACAAGGGGAGAGTTATAGAGTCAATAACCCTGAGTCGGCAACCTCGTGGATGAACCTTGGAACTGCTGAATTTGCATTAGATTAGTTTTGTGTCATTCCACCTTAGGTGTAATGCCACCTGTTATATTATATTTCCTTTCAGTTAATTCAGTTTAGAATCTGTGTTTGATACGATAAGTTGTACTTTAAATAAAATAAATCTTTTTAAAAAACCAAATACCGAGTGTATTTAGATAAGTTGAATGTGGAAAATATTTATTATAAGTTTAATAGTAATTTTAGTCCTTAAAAATGTTTACATTCAAAAAATTTAGCTCTTTCAAAAGTGCCCACCATAATGTGCTCAAATCTATATAATCGTTGGATATCCTTCACGATATCAATATAGTATAAATATTATCCAGTGAATATTACAGATCTGTGTCTAAAATTATTAAAATATAACAGAAATTACCTCAAATGCATCACCTAAAAATTTACTACTTACTTTTCAATAAGTTTTTATATAGTGTCAGTCACTTTACCACCTCTTCTCTTTATCCCTTCTTTTAGGTCCCTCACTTTAATTGATCCTTATTTATCAATTTTAATCATTATTTTCTCAAATATATCATTTAAAATACCATAAAATTAAAAAACGCACATCCACATGAAAGTGACTTTTAATATTGACCTCACGTTTCAGTAGTGCCATCTGGCGGTAACACTTCGTCTGTTACCCCTCATAGACCTTTTCATCATGTGATGAGCGCAAGCGCAGCCACCATGTTGAAATAGCGGTAATTCAAAAGTTTCGTACTGTTTTGATCGACAATGGCTGGGAAAGCAATGTTATCTCTACAGAAAAATTAATCATTAGAAAAAATCGTTGATAGTGAATAACTTTTTTATAACTCTGTGGAAGCGCATAGTTGTGAGCAGTTGAAAAGGAGGTTGAAGTGTCTTGGATGTTTGTTACAAAGGAACAAAGTGGACTAATTGAGAGGTTAGGTGTATCAATACTTTTTAACTCTGTAAAAAATTAATGATAACAAATAATAATTATAACTTTATTCTAATTAATTATGCCAACCAACTATTACTACTTGCAAAAACACTTTAATTAGCATGAAAGTTAATCACGAGTATAATTAATAAAATAAATTATTTATTATTTTGAGGATCAACATGACATTTTTAATCATTTAATGTGTATACCGAAGTAGTATTTAATATTAAAAAAATATTGTTTAATAGCAGGTGAGAATTTTCTTCTGTTGGACCACTTTCTCCATGAAAATGCAGTGAAATATAATAAGTATCTTTAGTAACATCATTAATCCATCGAAAACCGTTGTCACTTCGACCATATTTTTTCACACTTAATGCACATTTCAAATATCTTTTAATATGGATTTTGCCTGATAATTGTTTACGATATTGCAGCTAAGGCTTTGGAAAATTTATAAAATAATATATATTGCCTTTGAATGATTTATACCGTGTGTCACTTTTACATAACAACACTGTTTCGTTGTTCCTTTCCGTACAGATAACATAATTATAATTGCTTGTGAAAATGTATTTTTCAATTAAGACACTAAACTCATTATTACTTTACTTTTTTCACACTTTTTTTAAATGAATATAGACTTAAATTAATATTTATCAATTATAATTTTTTTCACGTAAGCATTTTAACATACTTGTTTACAAAAACAGTACGAAAAAGATGGCTGAAACTGACGCATGCGCACAAAAAAAATTGTGATGAAAAGGTCTATTGGTTGAAAAGTTTGTACAGTAGGCCTGTGTGTCAAACACTATCAAAAGCTTTACTTATGTCCATAAAAACTGCAGCTGATAATTTTCCTTCTAGGTAGGATGTTTGTATATTAAATGTAAAAATTATTAGTGGATGAATGGGCAAACATTGGTTTTTGAAACCAAATTGATGGTTTGGAATATGTTCTTTTACAGTTATTAACTTGTTTTTAATAATTTTTTCGAAGTTTTTTCTAAAACTGATAGCGTTATCGGTCGGTGGTTTGTCGTTGTTCGATTTTAGTATGGTAACTTAACGATAACACCTTTTTTTCATCTATCATTTTGTTTGCAATAATTATATTTTTTTAAATAATGATTAATTTTAATAAAAATTTAGCGGATACACTTTATTTGTGCAATTTGTTCATACATAAATCCTCATGTTGTAATTAAAAGTCGTTTACCCATAGAAATAATGGAACCTTATTCTCCCACACTTAAAATGATTCCCTACGTAGCTTGAAGGTTGTTGTTGCGCATACGCACTGTGGGCCATCAACAGGTCTACAAAGGTTTTTAAATTATAATGCATCAGATTAGTTTGTATTGTTTTCTTTGAAGGCAATTCAACAAGAAGGATCCGCAGAACCGACGAAGAGCTCCGAAGAGCAGCAGAATGCATCACCAGAGGACAAACGTTCCAAACCGTCAGCGACCAGTTCAGCATCCCAATTTCCACAATACGTTTCTACATGGCGCGAAAAGGCATTTTGCCCAGACGCAAGAGGGGAAGGGCGTGCGCGGGGCCCATGGGCATGGGGGGCATGGGCATGTCAATGTCGATGCCCATTTCTACTTCTTACAACTCCCCCGCCAGTCCGATAGGCCCTCCTTACCATATCGTCCACTACAAGTTACCGTCGTTGGGCGTCTCCAAGTTAAAATAGGTGTAGTTTATTTTTTAGTACTTACACTGAAAAATGGAAGTATTTTTTGGTTTTTAATTATTATTGTTTCGGGTTCCTCGTTTAACAAGTTCCTTTATTCGTTTGTTTTATTGGTAAAAATGATGGTGCTGCTGTGCGGTCATTGTACAGGGCTGTCCAAACGTTAAAGCTAACAAAATTCTAATAACATTTTATAGATTGAAAACCTGCTGCAAAAAATTAGTTATTTTAGGCTGAATTGAAACCATACCAACCATGTGTTACTCTAGTGCAAACAAAAACCCTAGTTATTGTTAAAAGGAGGCTGTCAGATTTTATTTGACACCATGCATTAAAATAGAAGCACTCTTCGTTTTAATATCGAAATATTTACTAAAATCAAAGCTAACACTCTTAGTTTCTCTCGCAGAAAACAACGGTGGTAAAATAATAAGCGCTTTTTAATTATTGTTTTTTTTTTCAGAAACAGATTTTATTAATCAAACTTAAAGGTAATGCCGAATTTTGGCACAATTCTCAAAGTTGTAGCAGGTTTTGGTTCTTTATTTTATGTCATTTAGGAGTGGGATAGTGTGTTCTAGGCCACTGGAGATTGTGATTTTGAATCCTATTATTAAGAAAGTAAATCTGATTTATACAAAAATAATATGTTTGAAAACTCGGATTTTAATTTTGCTGATTTTATTACAATAGTATATTCAATTTTCTGACAAATTCTATGTTCCCAAATATTAAAATAAAAGTGATATTGTCAAAATGCGAATGAAGTAAAAATAAGTAAAATTGCAGATAAGATGTTACTTTATTTTTAATGCAAACGTTTGGACGCGCTGTATAAGAATTGGACAATCTTTAATTTATTTAGAATGGCTGGAACCCTAAAAAATGTATTTTTAGAAAAATATCTGTAAACAATTTTTACGAATAAAACAAATTTTTAGAGGGACAAACTCCAGGTACCAGATGATTACGTGCGATATTATAGTTATTAATTTTTTTCTTTTGTAAGCGTACGAGGCTACTTTTGTCACATAGAAAAAAAAATATATGTTGTATTTTAATTAGTACAAAAAAAAAACAGTATTTGTCTTCAGAAACGATTTAATTTATTTTAATCCCTAGGTTAATTTATATTATTTATTTTGTGTTGTGGTAATTTTGGTAAAACGAAAAAAAAAACGGTTCTTTCAGCAAAAATTGTTTCATATAGACTAAAAACAAATGATTTTTTCATTGCTTGACTAAAAAAATATATAAGCTTAACATGAGAAGACTACTTTTAGCATAACTATGGGGGCTACATTGCACCTCCTACAATAACCCTGGCCCTTCAAAGAAATGCATACATGCGACAAAATGGCACTTCGTACTACTTAACATTTGGAATACAATGGGCCTGTCCCTAACCAGAAAAAATGTCCAATTACGTCTGTGTGAATGTATACCAATGTTTCTTGATGCACAAACTTCATAGCTCTTTCTAAAAAGAGGACAAAAATGTGCTTTGTTTCTTCTATCTAACGACTCTCCCTACTGTTTACATAGCTGATACTTTATTCTTAACCATCCACACAAGTCCCATCATCTGGAGAGTCCTAGACATTTGCTTTTGCATAGTTCCTTGTCATATCATTAAATGAAGTATATTTATAATCAGTTTCACAAAAACAAGCATCAAGCGAACGTAGTCTAATGAATAAGTCATCAGATACTGAAGAAGTCTAGTCAAAACATGTTAGGTAAATTAGTTTGGTTTCTTTAATTTTTTTATGTAAAGTTTTGGTTACTTTCTAGGACTCGTCAGGTATTTGGACTCGTGCGGATGGTTAATATAATTACTGCATTTCCCGGCCTTTCCCTATTCTTTTTAATAATAATTATTGCCTAAACCATTTATTTACTGCTGACATAACATCATTGTCACTAGAAAATGTCCTGCCACGCAAATTATATTTTAGTTTCGATAACAATTTGTAGTCGCTAGGGGCCAAATCTGGTGAATAGGGTGGATGATTCTACAAATTGAAATCCCGCTTGTTAAGCCTCTTTCATCTATAGTCACCTCGAGGGTGAAGGTTTTCACATAAAGCTATTCCTCACTTGAATTTAGGGCACCATCATTTCACTAAATCATATACAGTAGACTCATCTAATGTTGATATCATATCTTGATAAATTGTAGTAGGCTTCATGCTGATTTTCTGCAAATATTTTTCATTCAATGTTTAAATATAAAAAAAAAAATGTTTTTCTTTAAATTATTCTTTATCTATCGTATCTACTATTTGTGCTAGGTGTTGTTAGATTTTTTTTTTGTTTCTGATATTGATCACTGATATCAGGAGATATCACCAGCTGGTTCACTTAATGACCCAATTTTGAATAAATATAATTAATTTCAAAATTACGCAAAATTATAATTGGATGCGTATGCCAACAATTAAAGTTACCTTATCGCACCTTTTATTGTAATGGCAGATTTTATCTTCAAAACTAATGAGAATAAAACATGCAGCTTTAATTTTTACATAATAAATCGAAGCTATACAGTATGTCTACTTGGAAAACTTTTTGTTAATTTTAAGAAAAGTAGTTCTTCATAAAAAGTGCATCAGATTAGATATCAAATATTCTTAGTCTAAAGGCTGTATGTCACGATACTAAATTAAGTACTAAACTTAGCACTAAATTAAGTCATTAATTTAGAACTAAAAATATTTTTTTCCGTTTGCAACGATACCAATTTTTAGTACTAAATTAACTATAGGCGCACGCGCATTGACGTATTAATACGTGAAATAAGCAGAGAAATGAAATATTCTGTGTAAAATAGACAAGTGAAGTAAATGGTGTTTTTATTATCAATTTGACATGACAACCAAATACAAATTACCGACGTGTCAATTTTTTCTGTGAAAAACTTCTGCGCAACATTTCGACGCACTTTTAGTAGTAAATTTAGTAGAAAATAGAACAAGTTCTAATTAATTAATGACTTTTTTAGTACTAAATTTAGTACTAAATTTGCTGTTTGCAACGTACATTTTTTTAGTACTTAAAAAATGCATTAATTTAGTTCTAAATTTAGTACTTAATTTAGTATCGTGACATACAGCCTTAATACAAAGTTTGTCAAAAAATATGCTTTTTATGCAAGAGTATACTAGTGAAAAAAATTGATATTTGATGGTTGTATTTTGGGTTTTAGACCATGCCGAACTTTTTATAATGAATAACCTAAATAGACATACTATGTATATTTATAAGACAAGTTGTACAGAAAATTAATTTTTGTCTTCCAAAACACATTTAAATAAGTAGTGTGACATGCATCTATTTTCCTAGCATAAAAAGTGATCAACATTCATAACATTCATGATTGTGTAAATTTTACATAGAACGTCTTAATTAGGTGTGAAATAATTAATATTATCAATATTTTTTGGGCTACGTATTTTTGTGTTCTAGTTGAATTTGTTTTTCTCCATTTCGATAATGGTAGAATATTTTAAATTGAAATTTTAGACTTTTTTGTTATTAAAAATCAATAAGGAAAAAAATACTTTTCACTCATTAATTGTTTATTAAAATTAACAAAATTGATTTATTTACTGTAAATATACCGACTAACGCTTCGTTTTCAAGATATAGTTTAAAGTTTAAAAAATATGTTTAAAAACGTTTTAATAGATTTCAATGAAATTTGCACAGTTTGTACAGTATTGTTTGGACCTATTAACGTTTATCCAAAATTTCCATAGGTATACCTACGGGGCAAGTCTTATTATTGGAAATGAAGTGTTTTCGAATATATATTTATTGAGGAAAAATGCGTGCCCTAAAAGTTTGTCGATATGTATATTTGTGTGTTATATATTTTATCATCAATTTAACAAAAACGCATGCTTAGAGAACCATTTTCGTTTTACTTTTTTTTTTTTCTATGTGGCAAATCGATCCCTACTTTTTGCTCACGTTATTTTTAGAAACCGTCGCTTGGTATTATCAAGAAATTGCCATTTTTAATTTATAGTTTTATTTTTGATCTCGTTTTTCTTTATTTCGAATAATTTTTTTTTTTTTTTTGACCATTTTTTTATACATCACTTTTAGAAGGTAAGTGATTTTTTTGTTGCGCCAAATAATATTTTTGTATTATATATTATTATTTTTGGAAGTGATTATTTACAAAACACATAGCCGTGATTTTTTTTTGTATTTTTGTAATTAGTCATTTCCTTTAGTTTAACTGATATTCGCGATCCCAGAAATTGTCTTCTTGAAAATAATTAATAAAAAAATTGTGTTAGAATGATAAATAATGTAGTATGTGAAATTAGTGATTATATGGATTCTGGTGATTAAAGAAAATAATCACGCGAGAAAAGTATTTGTACAAATTTTGTCTGATATTATTACTTAACAAAAAAATCTCAATTTGAAACCAATACTAGTCTAAACGGTAATTTTTGTGTAAGTTTTTTTTTTACTATTTTTTTGCGATTTTTGCACGACTTAGTTCTTAGACATGCTGCCATTCTATATTTTTTATTAATAGTTTCTAAACAGGGTAAATAGCAATGTAACCATTTAATATTTTAACTAAAAAAGTTAAAAAGAAACCTATTTTTAAAAGCTACTTATGGAACTAATACCGGGAAGGTAAATTTAGACAAATTTTTGAAAACGTATTTCATAAAAGCACCTTGGTTTTTCACCCGGTCCTGATATTTTAATACCATAGTGTTGACAAAGAATAACGATATAAATAGTTACATTGTTAAATTTTCGTCTATACAGAGTTTGTCAAAAACAAAAAAATATATTTTCAATTATTAGTTTGAAATAAGAATTTTCTTGCAGATCTTACTAATTTAGTTCTTGGGCAACACGCCCTATTCATATTCCGATGTTTTATATTTATGAACCTTTTCCTATTTTGAAGGTTCTTCCTGGTGGTTTAGGTTTTATAACCATTAACTAACTAAAATTAAAAAATTAAATTTAAAAGGTAAATCTAATCAAGTTTGGTCTTTAACACTTTTAGGATTTTCAACAATTCCGTGCTAGTTATTTTGTTATAAAGGCATTCATTGTACCTTTCAAATTGAACAATTTCAGGTCAAACGGTTTGGACTGAGAATGTTCATCATTTGTGTCTCTTTGTCTGTCCAATTTTATATCGCTAGTGATTTTAGATAATCCTCCAATGCTGTCGGCCATTTATTCTTAAACAAACCCCTTATATTTGTGAATCTATTTGTCTATTATTATTTTTATTATATCTCTGTTTTGAATATGCATATGCTATAACGATCTTACCCTGTACATTTTCGCTTTTATGGTTATTGTTCTCTTCCGTACTTCCCCACAATTTCTTGTTCTATGTTCTCCTCATCTCACTATGAAACATCACAAAACTATACATAAAAAGTCATGTTTTTCTAATGTGCTCCTTATGATTTTTACGATTATGTAGATCAGTATTAAAAATTAATCCCAAAAAATGATAATTGAAAATTTAATGGTATAGGTTTTCGACTTTCTCTGTGTATTTAGATCAAAATCTACAAATAGAGGCTTCCATTTCTAGCTACTTAAAAGAATCCCAGTTTCGTCTATACTTCAATGTAAGTTGCCTTCATTGTAAATGTATATGTATATTTTATGATACGCATTATGTACTTATTGTAAGGTAATGGACTGAGCGAGTGGCAGCATCCATCCTAGCGATATCCAACAAAAATAATTTCAAAAATATTCATTTATGACAAAAAAGTTATAACAAAAACATGTACTTTTTTTTGTAAGGCATCTAAGCTTACCAAGCAGCTAAAATTTGAGAACTGAAAAATCTTAAATGAGAGGTGGTTCAGTTATAAAAGTTACTTTTTTGCATTTAATATTTATTAAAAAAAAATGCAATTGCATCCACAAATGCCAAAAATTTTCTGTTGTCTTCATAAAAACATAAATAGTTTCATTCGGAATAAAATTGACCTCTTCTTAACTACGAATTTTACTTGTTATTTCCGCACTTGTTAGCTAATTCTAGAATAAGTACATAGTTTTTCAAGATTTCCAAGAACCAGTATTTGAACTTTATCGAGCAATACTCAAATAAATTTAGACAATAGTATTTAATGGTATGGAGCTAAAATTTTATCTACCTAAGGTATTATAAATTATTATTATAATGGAAATCTAACATCCAACATAGGGACAAATGTCTATTTTATATTTAGCACTTGCTAAAATTTTACTAGTGAGACAATCTTATCAGTTCTCATCTAACTGTGAAGTGCTCATTGTCTTTACGATGTCATCTCATTACGATAGCATCTCATTGAATTCAAGGGGGAGGAGTCTAAATATTATCAGTTTACAAGAATTTAAAACATGACAGATTCAGATACCTCTGTATTAAACAAAATTGGTCTCCTAAGGGAAGGAGAGAACACATGCATTTAACAAAAGCATGCCCAGTAAGAATTTTTGTAGACTTGCCAAAAAGACATTAAAAAATATTTTCCCACGGTCCTTGAAATTTTCACAAGATTTTTATTTATTCTTGAACTCTTGTTTTTTTTAACTTTGGAATTCATAGTTTTCCATCAATTTTTTTTTTAATTGTTTTTGGATAATGTTTTTGAAATTATTTTCCAACCCCGAGCTAAATACCTGACAACGCTTAATTTTTTAGGTAATATTTTTTAACCTGTGAACCGTTTCTTTTATCTCGAAACGAAACTTTTTGCCAGTGATATAGAAATTATTTTTTGATCTGTCTGATACATTCTAATTTTTCATAGAAACCGCACTCACCTCATAGAAACAATACAAAAAAAGTTTTTTGGATCTACACTTTTTTGTTTCCAACCAAACATGATTAAAATTTACCACGAATTTTGTTTAAAAGTAATGAAATATGTGAAAAAATACAACTTGCCAAATATAATGGATCAAGTTTCTTCCTGTTTTGAG